CTGAGACATCCGAGGGAGGCCTGAAGGAGCTGGTGCTGAGGTGGTTCACTGAGACTCAGGCGCCGCTCATCCTCAACAACGGAAACTTCCCTGACTGGTTTCAAGGCTTCGTTGCACGAAAGTAAGAACATAATCCTAACACAGGATGTGGTGACGGAGTGGAAAGAAGTTTGAGTATTTTATTTTTGACTTATTTTACATATAAGAAGCTACACTTGTTTTGGCTCTGTAGGTTCTACTTTGACTTTGAATAGATTGAAGCAGGCAAATTTTGTTCATCCATGTTTTTTTGTCTTTACATTGCTATGAAGTCTTGCGGTGGTGGAATGTAACTTCCTTTTTTTGCTATTTGGCTATTACTCAAGCCAAATACCAAATACAAGTCAAAATTAGCTCCAGCTCAAGATGCAACATTAAAGTGCTATTTACACATCATTAATTCAATTTTGTGTATAAAGTTCGATTCTCAAATATAAAATGCAATATACAGGCATATCTAAACAGTATTTTAATATTTTAACTGAACAAAACAGATCAAATCTAAATGATTTCAATAATTAATAACCTTTGATCTCTCGTTGGCAGTTTCAAAGGATTAACCTAATTTGCTAACATTAGCCAAAAGCTACCAGTCTGTAGCTTTCACACCAGGGCGTTTGATTCATTAGTTATAAAAGTAACATAGTCTTGCTTAAAGGTATGGAGAACATGATAATACATTGATTCCAGATATTAAGGCTATGTGCAGGGGGGAAGTCAATGTTTTTGACAGTATCAATAACTCTAGAAGTAACAGGAATGTATCATATTGGTCCAGCCTGTAGGCCTATCTATCTTTGATTCACTTTCACTCACCTCACTCAGAGAAAACAGAGGTTTCATCACACGGCATGGATATTCAAATCTAATTGGCCTACAAGTCTGTTTAATTTGTCCTGCTTTGCCGTCTGCCTCAGGGACACAGAAGATCTGCTGAGAGATAAGGCTCAGGGCTGTTTTTTCATTCGCCTCAGTGATAAAGCCATCGGCTACATCCTGTCCTACAAGTGAGGCCAATCAAGTCTGTTCAACATTGTTCCTTTGCTTCTTAACCGCCTTTCTGTTTCATCTCACCAGTTGTGCTTTTTCTTCCAAAGGGGACACGACAGGTGCCGCCATTTTGTCATCACCCAGAATCAATACGGACAATTTGTCATAGCAGGAGACTGTCAGACATACAAAAGCCTCACAGAGCTCATGGAACATTTCAAAGTCAGCCCCATCCAGCCCTTTGGAGAATATCTGACCACCAGCTTTTATGAGGTGAAGAATGAAGAATTTCATGTAAGTGTGTATTAGTTCCTTTCTTCCTCTTTCTATTAAGAATTTTGTCAAACATTTCCAAGATATTACAAGGATTGGCAGCAAACGTTCATGGATCCCAGAAGACCTAATCATCTTCTGACTTTTCATCTAGTCTAGGCCATAAGGTTAACATCTTAGGTTTCACTAAATATTTCAACAACTATTGGATGGATTGAAACAAAATGATGATTTTGTGATGCCCACAGGACAAAATTCAATAACTTAGGTGACTTTACATTTTGGACTACGCTGTACTGTTGTTTAGTGCTAATAAGGAGACGTTAGCATAATAGCACGCTAAAAACGGCGAACACAGCAAACATTATGGGCTATGATATGAGGCTAGCAAGAGTTTGCTTTTTTAATCTGTTGGAAATGAAATAATTGAAACAGCATCAATTTTTTGTAAACCAGATGATTTACTGTTGTAGCCTACTACTTTCTTTTGCTGACACACCTCCCATCCTGCAGCCAGACATTATAATGCGCTGAACAACCAGGCGTTGCACTTCAACTCTAACTTTGACATTTGAAAGAACATAGTTATACACCACTGGTTTCATTTGACTGGTACCAGCATCATGTTTATGTCTCAAAGAATAGATAAAATGGTTGTTATTTTCAGGTAGACTCAGGTGAGCTGTATGATGTGGTAAATTACACCAAAGGGAAGCCTGGGGTGAGTGTCCAAGCCCTGAGGACTCGTTGGGACCATAAACAAGATGAACACAGCGGCCCTGGCAACAATCAAAGGACCCAGCAGCAAAATGGCCCTCCTACACCTGCACTGCCACTGAAACCCAAAAACAGAAAACTGACAGGAGTGGTTTCTGTAGACACAGTGTCCCTCTCACAGGTATGATGAACATTTGAACTTCATTAAAAGGTTTTATTAGTAAGTATCTTTGGCACCCAATTGGTTCTCTTGCATACCATAATCACAATGTCCAAGGTTAGGTTCTGGCCACCGGACGTTTGTCGCATGTCGTATACCTTCCTCTCCCCCTTTTTTACATAGCCCTCTGTTAAGTTAAGGCCAATGTGCTAAAAAAATAAAGGTTTTATTCAGACAAAAAGTGTATGTTTGATTCAGATATTTTAAAGATCCAAAACAATAGGCGCTTTCATACTGGAGTACTTTGACCCATACTTTTCCCGTTTAGTTCGGTTAGTGGCTGGAATTTTGCGTTCACACCAAAAAGAGAACTTATGGCATTTCCACTACAGCGCGGTTTAAGCGTGCCGTGCCTGGCCCGGCCCGTTTTTGGTTGCGTTTCCACTAGGCGTAGTTCCGGTTAGTAGGTACTATTTCACAGTTTTTTGGCTCTCCAAAATCGAGGTTCTTTCCGGGCCAACAACCAGGCTGAGTATGCTAAACTAGTGAGATAATCGCTGGCAATACAACAAAATGAACATATTTTACCGTGAGTAAAGATAGTCTTCGGTGGTATCCGATTGGCAAAAAAAAAAGCAAAGGTAGATTAGTGTAAGCTAAGGTAGGGAAGTAAGAAAGTATTGTTAGTTTTGATGTTTACACTCATTTCCCTACTGAGGAAGATCATGTAAGATTGCAACTAAGTGACCATGAGGACAGATTGTTTTGTCAACTATATTGTCATTGTAGTTCCATTATGTCATTCAGGGTGTTCCTCCAGTACCAAAGAGAGGTATTCCTTTGGGCTTCTCCCTGAGAGGATCTTTCCCCGAAACAACATCACATCCAAGTGAAACCTACGCCGAACCAAACAGATCAGAGAGACTCAGAGGAAACACAAACCAAGTCTCTGACAGAGACTCATTCAACACCTCCAACATGAGTTATCCAGGTGATCTAAGTCCTCCAGGGATCACATACTCTGAGTTGACACATGTGGGGAGCAGGAGCACATCTCTACCAAGACTAAACAGCAGCAACTTGGAGGAAGAAGAAGAAAAAAGGAAAGAGGAGGTGGAGGAGCACTCCAATCGGCTCAGCACGCTTTCCTTAGCAACATCAGAATCTTACTCACCCACTCCTCTGAAGAAGGTCACCTGCCACAGCTACTCCCTCCACAGCCCCAGGGACAGTCCGAGGGCAAGCAGCTCCATGTCAGAGCAGCAGGGTGGTGGTCTGGAGATGTTGAAGTCCAACCCGCTGTACCAGACCTCGGGGGGGCCTGGGGGGGATTCAGCTCCGCAGGGAGACCCCATGTATGCCGAGGTTCCCCAGAAGCTGCCTGATGACACATATGAGCAGATCTTAGGGGAGGCGGCGATCGCCCAGGGCAACATGTACGAGTCTCTGGAAGAGCTGAAGACCAAGAAGTCCAAATCCATCTGGGGGAAAAATGTAAGTCTGAAAGAATAATGAGTGGTGTGGATGTTATTGAGAGCAGAAATATCAAATTTGATGTATTTTTTCTTTTGTTTGCAGAATATTGTTTGGAAGACATTTTTTCCTGAGGATAAGAAATAAAAAGGACTCAGCGTGTGGAATTGACTTTTTGATCATTGTTACCTGACACTAAAAATTAGATTAGTATTAAATAAAGTCATTTTATAAAAGCATTTTAATAAGTAAGAAAATCGATTAGAAGTGGATCCCTGAATTATGTTAATTGTGTTGTTTTACTTTACTTTTTTGTGAAATGTAATAAACAATAATCTCTATCTAATCTCTCATTATCAATCTATAAAAAAACAGCAAACAAAAAGAGATAACATTTATAACTGGCCCCAAACCACAATGACGTCAATGCAAATCAAGAATTATTTTCACTAGCAGCCATGTTTGACAGAAGAAAGTCTGTCACACCTAACATTTGAATCCAACCCTGAGGCAATACAGAAACATCGTAACAGCTGCTGCTGTAGATATAATAGTCAATAATATGAAGTGACAATCCCACAGTAGTTCACAATGTCAATAAGGTGCGTATTTTGACTTGATTGGATGATCCGAGTGTTAACCAAGTTCATATGATGTGTATTAAAGGGGAACACCGCTGATTGTACATATTGAAGCTTTTTAACAGGTGTTTGGGAGTACAAAGGTCCTTTATTCCAAAACACAAAAAAAATCTTCTATAGGGCTGAAACGGTAAGAGAAAGCTACAATACTAGAAGAGATAAGATGCTTTATTGTCATCTATCTGTATGCAGTGCAGTACATTATGTCCACACTACATACACATACATGCATACATATCAAGTATGTAGTAGGGTAGCTCTCCTGGTAGGCCTGAGTCCTTAGAGTCGTGAGTTTCAAATATGACCCTTGGCCCTTTGCTGCATGACATTCCCACAATAACCTCTTTTGCTCGGCTGCAGCAGGCCTGCTTTCCAATGCAAAACATGAGGTAGAGGTGACGTCAAGACACAAACAATGTCCGCATTGGAATCCTCAGAGACCTGGGTCTCAAATATGACCCTTGTCCCTTTGCTGCATGACATTCCCACTATAACCTATTTTCCAATGTAGAACAAACATGTGGCGCAATAATAGAAAAATAGAAAAACAGGTAGTTTAAATAATAACTCTGTTACTTGTAGGGGAGAATTTTCACGTTGTGCTAGACTACTTTCAACTAAGTTAATTATCTGCTCAAAAGTGTTCTGCAGTTTCCTTTCCTGACCACTAGGTTCCGGAGTTTCCTCTGTGTGCTGCTGACACTCGGCCAGAGAAGAAGAAGGAATTACGGAAGTAGGGCTTCCAAACAGATTCCCGTTGGAAGAAGAATAAAATACAGTAGATCATCGCTTTTCTTTAATTAACACAAATTAAATCTTGGACTTGCCATTTCCCAATAAGACGATGGGTACTAGAGATGATGAATATGATTATTTGTTCAAAGGTAAAACCAAAGCCTTTTTTTCTCCTTATTGTCTTGTTAGCTGACAGTGTAAAACGGGCCAGCTGATTAACTGTCAGGCTATGCTAACTTAGCCGCAGTCAACCTTTGTGCTCCGAGTGCTTTTCACCGAGCTTTAGGAGAGATGTCAGCATGTTTAATCAATGTGCAGGACTTGAAACCACCCTTCTGTGAACAGTGGAGGTTATATGAGCTGTCAGTTCGTCACCTTACGGTAGTTATCGTTAAACGACAGGGCGTCTTGAACGTCGGCTAACGTTAGCAGTTAGCTGATGTTAGCTTGCTATCAGTGGGCGCGGACCAGCTTCACATCGGACACACCTAACGTTAACCGTTATCGCATTATATTGTAATCATCCATTGTTTAACTTTATTCCTCTACTATATTTATTCTTACCTGGTTATTCAAACATTACAGTGTCTACTGTTTTATTTTATGTTTTTATTGTGAAGCACTTATATCTGTGCGTATCGCTGATTTTGTTATAGTATCTAACCAGCCAAGCGAACAGAATAATTAACGAAACGAAAATCTAAGTGTACGCTTAATCATTAGTTTACGTTGAATCCTGCAGCTAACGTTAACTAGCTCCAGTTAAAGTGTTAATTTATTAACTGCACTGCAGCTCCGGCTTGGCAAAAAATGAGGTCAGTGTAAACAAACTGAGATCCTCCTGAAGTAACGAAGTACATTTACTCAAGTTCCGTACCTAAATTAAGATTTAAGGTACTTTTATTTTAGTTTAGTAATATTGTCATTTTTACTCCACTGTTATAGAGTCAAACAAATTTTTTGGACTATTTTATAGTGTTCCGATTAGATATAAAAAATGTAAATTTAACAATATGTTTTAATTTTTTTAATGGATTAATGATGTGCTTAATATTATGTGGTTGTGTTATATTTTTCGTTTTGTTTTCTATGATTATTTAAAGTGTATTCCATTAATTCAACTACTTTATATAATGCTGGGTTGTTAAATCTATAATAATAATAATCTGAAAGTCGCGTGTAGTGGAGTAAAGACTCAAATATTTCCTTCTGGGATTTAGTAGAGTAGGAGTAAAACAAATAGAAATACTCAAGTGAAGTACAATGACCACAAAAGGTACAGTTCTCAAGAATGTTTGACTTTCCAACACAGATCATTCTGACACCGGTTTTGCATTACGTGTACACTACTTTAGCATTAAGTGTACTTTAGCACCGCATACTTGGTCCTTATGACCTCGTCTATATACTGCCTTATTGAACAACATACAATAAGTTGGGGCTGGGCGGTATGACAAAAAACTCATATCACGGTATTTTTCCAAGTTATAACGTTATCACGGTATTTATTTATTTTTCAATAATTGGAAATGCATTTACATTTATACGTTTGACTCTACATGACTTTAGAAATCTCACCAGCGTTGGTTGTTCAAACAGATCATATTACCATACATTCTTCGTACTCCAATGAGTGCTTTCTGTTGAGGTGGTGGAGTAAACTTGTGTTACCTCCTCGGGCAACAATTTTAGTTCGACAACATTTGGAATAAATGTTTCTTTGGTAATAAATTAAAGATGACTTAATACCCTAACACATACAGGTTCTAAAGGTTCAACATATTCTGGCAGCTACAATGCACAACGCACAACAACATGCACAAAGTCAAATAAGAATACAGTATAGATTATAAAGTGAAATTGATGAAAAAAGTTAAAAGAATAAAAGAGCACCAAGTATAAAAAGCTTAAGCATGCTTACATACTGTATGAGTACCTTTATTACACCTAACTGAGTAGGCAATATGTGTATAACATGTTGTAATGCATCATTAACACTAGGGTGAATCTCTTTTTCAACATTAAATAATCCGACAATTGTTTTCATAATTGTTTTCGGTTATCATTTAATATTTGAATTGTCACAAAAAATTCAATTATGTAACAATATATATATATAATATATAATTGAAGTAACTCGTTTTATCATAACAACAATCAGTCCAAAGCTATTCAGTTTAGTGTCTTGTAAAATAAATAAAAAATCAGCAAATCCTCAAAATGAGTATCATAAACCAGAGTGTTTGACATTTCTACTGTAAAACAATCTCATAAAGTAAGACGCATACAGGTGGACATTTAGAGAAGTACATTTTCTAACGTATATCATTCTTATAGTTTGTATTAAACCTTGCTCTCTGTACTCTGTGTCTCAGTGGTCCTCATTGGTGACTCGGGGGTGGGGAAGAGTAACCTGCTGTCCCGCTTCACTCGCAACGAGTTCAACCTGGAGAGTAAGAGCACCATCGGAGTGGAGTTTGCCACGCGCAGCATCCAGGTGGACGGCAAGACGGTGAAGGCTCAGATCTGGGACACAGCGGGGCAGGAGCGCTACAGAGCCATCACCTCAGCGTGAGTTCAGAGGAGAGAAACAGTACAACTGTCTGCCAACAGACTTTAGTCCAATACACACAGCTGATTCAACTATTCAGAGTGTACTTTAAAGGGCGGCTCCTTTCACTCTTCCAGAATTGTTATTTATCAGATTCATTTCAAAAACCTCCTCCTGAACTGCATTTTTTAAATTATGTTAGGGATGTATTGATTTTTCTAAACAACAAATAACATTTTGTATGCTTTTTTTTGCATGTATTCATGTTGTTCAAAGCAAGTATTTCTACTTTTAGATGTTTTAGACTTGTGTGATCCAAAAATGTCCAATAATGTATTGAACAAATGAAGAAAGATCAAAACATATTTTTATTTAAATAAATATTCTTCTTTAATCTGTATTTGTTGCTTTTTATTCTTTTCAAAAACAAAATGTTCTCAGTCCAGTCATTCATATTTTCTCCACAGTGTGTGACTTATGAACTCCTGCTGAGCCGTTGTATGCCTGCTTAAACAGGAGGTAGAGGTGACATCAAGACACAAACAATGTCCATGTTGGAGCTTTCAATCTCTCACTTCCTGCAATCCTACACCTAAAGCACATCAGAAATATCAAGCTGTTGGACAAATGTCAGACAATGTGCTGAAACCCAATGAGCCTCTGAGGTTTCCTGCTGGAATAACTCCACAGGCTGACATGGACATGTTGGAGTGGAATCATAGTGCTCTCCTTTAATATTGCTGTGATTTGGCTCTCTGTGCTGCAGGTACTACCGCGGGGCGGTGGGGGCTCTCCTAGTCTATGACATTGCAAAGCATCTAACTTATGAAAACGTGGAGCGCTGGCTGAAGGAGCTGAGGGACCACGCCGACAGCAACATCGTCATCATGCTGGTGGGCAACAAGAGCGACCTGCGCCACCTCCGCGCCGTCCCCACTGACGAGGCGCGGGCTTTTGCTGGTGAGACTGTCGTAGTGTTTATACAAATATCAAAGAAATATAAAAAAGAAGAGAAACCCTTCTGGAGGTGACGTTTGGATTTTAGCCTTCCCAGACCATTTACATGCACACAAACCTATATAACACAACAGGAAAGAGAAATGCATAATAGGGCCCCTTTTACACCAGTGACTTGCCCTAAACTTGAAAATAAATACTTGCTACCCTCTCCAAAGCTCAAAGGAAAAAAAAGATGATATGCTATCATTTTTTTTTATCAAAGATAAATGAGTTTGGATATGATAACTCTGCGGTCATATAGGAATTGCGACTCGATTTGACTCAGTACTTGACTCTGGACTTGAAACGTTGTGACTGACAAAACAATTTCTTCCTCCCTCCTCTCAAATTCCTAATGATTCTGATAAAAGCATTGTAATGGGGATTGGATGTAATGTAGTGGTGAAATGATGTAATGGTGGTTGGTACGAGTTTCACGTTCACAAATCTGTGTTTAAAGGGTTTCACTGCTCTGCTATCTGTGGAATGTGACATGTTGGACATATAACGTGTTGCTTCACTCCCCCCACAGAGAAGAATGGTTTGTCTTTCCTGGAGACATCGGCTCTGGATTCCACCAACGTTGAGACAGCCTTCCAGACCATCCTGACAGGTGTGTACTGCGTTAATGCTTAACATGCCTGTTTCTGCAATTTCATACTCCACAGTAACCACCTCCTAAACTTGAACACATTGTAAAACTAGTCCACAGACCTCACATTGAATGAGGAAATGAAACAGTGTCCTCTTTATAAGTTAGATTACAGTGAGAGGGAAGTCAGGTGGGGAGTGAACTTGTGCTACCGGGCAGAGATACTGGACTCACTTTTTATCACGCAATATGTGAACGGCTTATCTTTTAGGAGTATGGGCTCAGAACAGTCTCATAATACACACATGCACACAGAAGGATTCGCACTTGTATTTCATGATCCGCAAAAGGATTCACACTTGTATGTCCGGATCCACACTTGTGTTTTTCAATGCACACACAAATGTGTTCCATTTCATATACATGTAAATAAAATCCCAAATACAGAAAAGTATTAAATATGTATTTGTTGATCCACAACAGTATTTGTTTTCCATTTAAATCCCCTGACCTGCAAACCACAAACCGTTTCTGGTCACGGATGCGCTGGTGCATTCGTGCTGTGGGTTTTTTGAGACAGTCCCGGCTGACGTCAGACCGATTCGGTACTGTAATTTGTTTCTACTGGGTTGAGCCCAAGTCAGATGTCTCCTGTCATTCTAATCAATCACAATGAGCGCGGCCCCCACAAGGGGTAGATTTACTTGCGTTCATGACGTAGCGCTTCATGCTACGCATTTGCGCCAGGTCCGGAGTCTGACATGTCCAATGGAGCCTGCCTGCAGGCGCTAATTCAGGACACCTCCACTCTCAGTACATTGCCACTTTTTCCCGAACAGGAATGCACGCAAATACAAGCCTTCTATGTTATTAAGTAAGCGCACACTTTGCCGAACCATGTTGATGAATGCTTGTGTTCACGTAACGACGGCAGGCAAAACCGTTTTAAATGGTGTTTCCTGTAATGGGCGAATACACTGCGTTTGAGTTGTATGTCTGTTGAGTTGTTGTAGTGTGAGAGCAGCTACAGGTTAGCTCTAGCATGCCTAATCGATAAGTGGCACTACGAAAAGCCCAGTGCGTAGACAGTGAACTGTCAACGGGGGGGGAGCCGCCAGGCGTTATCGGGGCCGGATATTCCTCTAAATGTGAGGTTTGGATCGGGTGCTGCTCTATAAAGGGCCGATCAAGGAAAGCTGGTGCTGGATCGATATGGACATAAACGCGGAGTGTGAAGTGATAACCGGAGCAGGGAGAGAGAGAGAGAGAGAAGATCAATCATCTGTAGTCTGACGGAGAGCACGCAGCTCTTGCATGATCACCTATGCTCCGCCCTCTGTTTGAGCGAGCTAGCCGGACTGCGCAAAATGCGTAATATAGTGAAAGTGCTCATGAACGCAAAAAATCATACCCTCGTGGGGGCGCGCTCATTGTGATTGCTTAGACTGGAGGAGAATCTGATTCGCTATAGAATTGAGAGAAATACAAGTGTACGAATCGCCTGACCGTCCAGGGGCAGTGCTCCAAAGAAACGGCCACACACGAATTGCACACGATCGGTGCACAGAAAGCGGTTTGTGTTTGCAGGTTCCAGGGTTTAAACGGAAAAACAGAATATGTGTGGATCAAAATACATATGTAACTTTTTTCTGGATTGGATATTTTATTGGGTACGTACTATACGAGGACTGTCTCAGAAAAAGAATATTGTGATAAAAGTAAGTGCAATTAAAAAACAAAAATGTCATAGATTGTGCGTGGATTCATTACAAATCAACTGAAATATGTTGCAAGCCCTTTTATGTATTTTAATATTGCTAGATTATGGCATACAGCTTAAGAAAACTCAAATATCCTATCTCTTAAATATTAGAATATCATGGAAAAAGTATGACTAGTAGGGTGTTCAACGAATCACTTGATAATCGTCTAATTAACTCGAAACGCAGCCTGCAAGGGTTTCCTGAGCCTTGAGAAAAACATC